GAGAAACACGAAGTTCTACTTACCTGAGCCAATGCAGAATAAAAATAAAATAGAAAATGTTATTTGGATATTTATATAATTCAAGGTGTTGTAAGCAATTATCTCACAATTAAATAATAATTACATTGGTTAAGTTTGGTAAGTCAGGACTTGAAGAAAGAGTGCTTCTTTCTTCTTGGAATAGAAAGGAGGTAAAAACGATGACCATGTGGTACAACAGAGAGAAAGATAAGGTCATAGCTGCACTGGGATAAAAGAGAGGCATGTCCCCCTTCAAACCTTCAGACAATACAGAACAGTAGGTAATAGCCTGGCAGATCTAGCTTTCCTGCCCTGTGCTTTCTTTTCATTGCTTATGAATGAAAATGCACAGACACACAGGTTGAAGTTCCTAGTGACAAACGGAATTTTAAGAAAAATCTCTTCTTTTGTTCTTATTAAAAGCTTTGGCGGGAGAGGGTGTAAAGATAGGAACATAATCAACCTTTTAAAATAGATAGACAGACAAATAATCTTGTGCTTAAAAGAGTTTGAAGACATCCAAACCAACACCAAATCCATTGCCGCTGAGTTGATTCTGACTCATAGCAACCCTACAGGACAGAGTGGAACTGCCCCATAGGGTTTCCAAGGCTGTAATCTTTACAGAAGCAGATCGTCACATCTTTCTCCGTGGAGCAGCTGGTGGGTTTGAATCGCCGACCTTTCACTTAACCACTGTGCCACCAGGGCTTCTTCTCGAAGACTTGGGTAGAAAGAATACTAGTTGTTCATTATTTTTATATATTTGCCAGGTAAATATGCCAAGTGAAGTGAGATACCCCCAAAGAGGAAAATAAAACTTCGAACAGAATTTAATTTGCATAACCATGACAGATGTTTGTGTGTGTGTGTATATCTATATAAAGGTATAGCTTTCTTATTTGTCGATATGTATCTTTATTTCCTATTATAACCAAATTCTTGTAGACAAAGACTAATTCTTCACGTAAACTGCTCAGTATGTGGTATGTGTTTAATAAATGGTAAACAAGCAATTTAAGAAGGTAAAACTAATTCCCATGGTTTTCCTTTAAAAGGTTAATGAGACTGTAGGAAATTCAAGCAGTTACTAGAATTCTCTACACAGATTCAGACAGAGCACATGATAAAGTAACCTAATCAAATATTAGGGCTTTCCATATTAACAAAATAGGCTTCACAGAAGATCAGCTGGCACCCTATTAAAATGATGCAAGACCCCCTGGAGAAGATTTAAATGAAAAAGAACAAACAATTTTCTTCATGTCACAATTCCCAAGTCACAAAGAAAAAATTTTTGAATTTTTTTCTGACAAGGATGTGATGCATAAATACCAAGAGTTGCCTCCTACATGTTTGTGCAATGACATCAGAGACATATAGGTTTCATTAAATTCACGTGAAATAGATACCTCGTCTCACCTAGCTCTAACTGTTGTCTTCCAAGGTTCTGACCCTTTTGTCTCAGTGCAGCAACAGGATCGTTGGCTCTATTGTGCCCCAGAAACATGGCCTGAGGAGACTGCCCTTACAGCATATCTTAATACTCTTAAATGCTTTGCAAAGCTATTATGACTGGTATATTCTGGCATAAAATCCTGTAATGCACTTTCCCAAAATCTTTGTTTACAACTGCTTTTTTTATATGTTGAAAGGAACATCCCCATAGGAAAAAAATTCTCGATCAAATGGCATTTGGTTTGTACATACGCCTAGGTTAAACACACACACCCACAAGATAAATAAAACTCAATATATATGTATTTACATAATATGCTCAAGTTAATTCTTTTATTCATCATCTGTGAACCAATATTCTAATACATAGATAAGGGATAAATGAGTTTTCAGTAGATAAGATTTATATAAATCATCTGCTTTGAGTAGTGGGTTGCTGGCCTTAATATGAGAACAAAAGTATGAATATCTGATTCTATATGTAAAAATAATTCATTCACTCTGGAAACAATGTATGGAATAATGGCAATAGCTAACATTTACTGAGCATTTACTGTGTGCCAAACATTATTTCATTTCATCATCACAACAACCATTGAGGAGAAAACTGCAAGTATCCCCAGTTTAAATGTTAACTAGCTTGCTGAAGATAAAGAAGCTCGTAAATGACAAATCTAAAAATCAGAGTCCAGGTGGTTTGCTTCCAGAAACCATAGTCTAAAACACTATCCTACACTACCTGTTCTCTGGAGCTCAAATGCATGTAAGAGACTATTGATGGCTAGAGGAATGCAGTAAGTGTATCAACATTCCCACATGCAATGAATGGTAGCCTAGAAGGGACATGGGCTCTGATATTGAAATAGCTGGGTCCAAACTTAGTTTGATCTATACTATCACCTGACAACACCAACATACTTCAGTAAAGAAGCCCTGGTGGTGCAATAGTTATGTGCTCGGCTGCTAACTGAAAGGTTGGCAGTTCTAATCCACCCAGTAGCTCTGTAAAAGAAATACCTGGCAATCTGCTCCTATAAAGATTACAGTCAAGAAAACTCTATGGGGCTGTTCTACTCTGTCAAATGGGGTTGCTGTGAGTAGGAAATCAATTGGACAGTACCCAACCACATAATTGAGTAAACTCCTAAGCAAGTCCATTTTCCTCCCAAAGAGTTTGTTTCATGTCTAAAACAGCCCCACAGAGCCC